GTCCATAACCATAATAGTGATGGGTTTTCCTTCTTATTATAGGTCATGCTTTCGTGCTTCTTTATATCCCCAGTGATTTACAATGGGATGACAAACACTATGAATTTCACCTTGCTAATCCACTGGCTGGACATTCTTCCTGCTGCAAACTGGGCAACAGAAGGACTCACCTCTCTTGGTCTCTCCCTCAGGGACCATTGTCCTGTGCTGCCTGTTATTTAGATCTTGAAACATACTGGTACTTTTGCTAGTTTTAGTTTGCTGAAGACAGGACATTAAACTGGTAACTATAACTTCCATGTTAGCTGTACACCGACACTGCCTGTCACATGATTCTTAAAATTCCTGTCAGAAAAACTGTTGAACACTTTTAAAGGGGAAAAAATAATCAGTGCCTATATAGCTGACCTATTTGGGTTACCTCTGTCTTTAGTTATATTTGAACTATTTTTATAACTCTCTAAATTGAAACTGATAGTAATGCAAATGATTCTTGACCACAGAAATGCATAGTATTGAGAGGAATGCACTGTAATTGATTAGTGCCCCAAGAACGTTGGCCAGTTTTGTATACTAAGCCAATTCATTTCAGAATCGCTGATGAAAGAACCCTCAGTTCTCTGAACCAGTTTGCATCTTTCAAGTTTTCGCTGAGATAGGATAGAAGAAATAAAGATAGGTAGAAAGGAGACAAAGAATCTGTAATTTTATGGATAATCAAAGGTTATCTATATCTGTATGCTATATTTGTACTCCCTAGACTTGTTTGTTCCAGAACATGATACCCAAATCTCTTAAAGATACTTCAAGCCCATAAATTAACCTACTTCATAAGGTAAAAGGGAGCAACTTGACCTTAAGATGAAGAAACAGATTTCAAGGGGTTCAAAGAATGTTTTCAGGCAAGACAATTTAAGTCACCCATGTTAAAGGATGCCTTTAAGACCACACATATATCCTCCAACCCCAGTCTAATTAACTACCTTAATATATCTACTTATATCTCTCATTGACAAGTCTTAGAATTCTTTTTCTGTGATGAGAATCAATGAATTTAGTTCCTTTTGAGGGGGACAGGGTTTGACGTCCCATTTTCTCTTTGGGTAACCTCCTCAAAATCCATCTGGGAACATTACTAAAAAGTAAGAATTTTTTATTATCTCAATAAAATAAACTGTAATAACTGCTCTTTTCATGTTTGACAGCCAATACTACATACTGCTTTAAAATTTATACTTATCAATACCATAAACAAAATTTAAATAACCTCCAAGTACACCAACATGAAACCCACTTCAAAAAAATGAAAACTGAGCCAGGCATGGGGGGTTCACTCCCATAATTTCAGCACTTGAAAGGCAAAGGCAGGAGGATTGCTGTGAATTTGAAGTCAGAGCTACACAGTAAGTTCAAGGCCAGTCTGAAGTATTGTACATAGCAAGATCCTGTCTCAAAAAACAAACAAATCAACACATAATAAGGAATGGTATTAAAACAGGTATTGTGTATTAATTTACACAGATTTTCCCTGTTTGCAAAAAAAGAGCATGTGACAAAAAGAACTGTAAAAATATATATATCTGTGACCTACTTAATAGAAGATACAGCCATACACAGATAGACATATATTGCAGGATATGTATATTAATTTGGAGGTGGAACTGGAACTGGAGGAAATATTTATTTATCCTTCTTGCTTTGTTCAGTGTCTTTAGAATGCTATTCAACAAATAACTCCTATGTACATACCTTGTGCCAATTAGTCAGGTGCTTGGGCCACATCTAGGAGAAAGGCAGACAAGTGCCTGCTTTTGAGAGCTGACACTGAAATACACTCTCTTCACCAACAGTAACACTAAAAAAAGTTAAACTTGACTTCCTAGTTATCTGACCTGCAGAGTTTGAAAAATCAAGATCAGCACTTGTACAGCAAAGGCAGAATGGCCCCTCCTTAAGCCTTCATGTCTCAGGCCAGCCTCTCCAGCAAAAAGAGTTCCACCTGCCCTCACTTCTAAGCCACAGTGAAGGCGGGGGATTTAGCTCAGTGGTTCCGCCACCTGCCTTGCCACACAATGACCAGAGTTTAATCCCCGGTACCAAAAAAAAAGAAAAAAAAAAAAAAAAAAAAAAAAAAAAAAAAAAGAAAGAAGAAGAAGCTAAACCACAGTGAGATAGATGCCCTGCAGGGCAGGCAGTGTGTCCTGTTCAAAGTGATGCTTCCTAAATATTCTACTCTGTGGCTGAATGATGTATGAGCGAACAGAGTGGGTTGAGGCAATGACTCAGAAATTCACTGTGGGGAGGAGCGTCTATGATGCTTCCATGTATGTGATATACCAGGACATGTACAAGAATGTATGGTTCTCTCAGTTCCCAGATTCTCCCATGAGCACTTTATCCTCACCACACATCAGAAGACAGGCTACATGCTCATTCCTATGTCCCTCCTGCTCTGGGTCAGGGGACAGGGCCTGGTCCAGCCTCACACCCTTTTCCAGACTATGTTCACAAGGGCACAGCCCAGCAGAGAGAGAAGAGCCTGTGCAGCACCAGGGAGACCCTTCAGAACTGCACCAAGGGCCTACCACAGGATGCAGAAGCCCAGAATACGTAAGTCATGTGGCAAGAACACAGAACAGGGCCAACATAGTGCCCTTGCTGGAAATATCCAAGGCAGTTCTAATCTCAGACCCCATGCTCAGACTCAGTCTGCCCTGGCCCTGCCTCACAGAAGCCCATTGCTTCATCACTTCCTGCCTCTACTTTGTTACCAAGAGACCAGAGATCACCCAGTGCTGCCTCATAGGCACTGATGCAAGGATCTGCAAAGAATGAAGACCACACCTACAGCATCCTTCTACAAAGCTAAGCAGGGAAAAATGGGGCTGCAGAAAGGCTTTACCACCCCCAAGAAAGACTTGTTTCTGATTATCTATAAGAAAAGGTTGCATCTATCACCAGTTAAACACAGACACCAGCACAAAAGGCCTTGTCTCCCCAAACCAATTCCCATACTAGAGAGCAATCAAAAGCTCTCTGTGTGAGGAGCCAGATTCCCTCTGGGCCACATGTGTTCCTGGCCGCACACAGTCCCTGTATACCTGAATAGTGACCAGAGCTCCAAGAGAGGGCCCATCACTACACTGTCACCATATCATGTTCCCTACCCCAGGCTCACTATAACTGTTGCCTGCTGAGACTTCTGCTTCCTCCTGCATGTAGACAAACCTAGATAGGTGATCCTCCACTGCCCCTGGAACTGGTTCACAACCCACAAAGCACTGCCACCTCCTATTATGGCCACCTCTTACACTACCTGGGACTCTTTTCAGGCCTATTTGCTTCCTGGTCTGAACAAAGAACTTGAACTACCCCCTTTCAGAGACAGCACAGAGGAGAAATAATATCCCCACTGCCCACATATGATATGAGTTCATAAACACATATGATATTGCACAGGAACCCACATCATCCATCTTACTACTCCCTGCAGGAATTAGAAGCCAGCAGCCCAAAAAGTAAAGTCTATGACCCAAAAGGCCCAGGTCCTAACTACCAAGTCAGTGGGAAAACCCTCCTCTGATAGAGCCCTCCTATGTACACATGACACCTTCTTCTGACAGAAGTCCCTCCTCTGCCCCACACTGAGACCCTCCTCTAACAGGGATTCTCTGGGCCCTTATTACCTGAGATCCTATTCCGATAGAAGACTCTCTCTTGTCCCGTCACTACCTGAGTTCCTCCTCAGACTGGCAACTTTTTCTTTGTCCCCATACCAAAGGGCTCTCCTTCCAGAATCTTTCCCAGCTAAACCTCAACTACTCCCCAAGGGGTTTTCCAACCCAGAACCAAGTGCAATGCTTGAGAGACAGGAGATTTACGAATGTTGGATGGTGAGCAAAGGATTCTACTTCCAAACACCCAAGCAGACACCTGCACAAAACAGGAAAGGATGGCTACCTAAGCATCACATGGGATATGAAGACTCAGCCCAGCCTGGACCACTGCCCCCAATACAGCCTCAAATCTCTACCCCTGACTACACTTCAACAATCTGTGGGAACACAAGTGGGTGTGCTCTACAGGCCATGGATGTCCATTTTCACCCTGCTCCCAATAGGTGCCCTGGGTTTGTACTCTAGTCACACTCCCACCTACCTCCACCAAGTACCAAAGAAAGCTAAGGAATATGAATGCCATCAGGCCTGGTTTGGCCCTGCAACAGACCACCAACACCAAGCACCTGCATCAGTCTACACTGGCCCCTCCCCTCTGGACTGTGGACACCCAGTCACTCCAGGCTCTCCTTGGCCTCTCTGCCCTTCACAGCATGCAGGTCTCAACCGCATGTCTCCTCCTCAAAGCAGCTTCATGCCACCTACTCAGGAGCAACCATGGAACGACATGACTCCTCGTCACGTTAATTTCCCATCTCCTCCACACATACAATGGAATATATGCTTTTGTTTGTCTCTTCAGAGCCACATCTCTTATGTCTGGAACAGAACATGTACAGGCATCATATACATGTTTGCTTGATGGTCAACTGAAAGAACTGGAACCTCATCCTAACAGCATCATCCTAAAAGCTACCCAAGCTCCCAGTAGCCCCTCCATTATGTCCGTGCTGTCTATCTGGGTGCCCTTCCAGGCTTCACATTGTACTAATGGCAACCTGCTGCTAAACAATATCCTCTACCCATGATGGTACATAGACCCAACTATGGGAGGAATGGGCTCAGAGGGAACCAGAACATGCAAAGTGACCTCTGTGAAGGACTAGGGACTTGCTTGTCAAGAGATGATGACACAAACTACTTCTAAAACACAGATGTGAAGCCCATCTAAGTCAGTAATAGCCACACTTGCTTTCCACACAGGTAACAGCCACTCCAGCTCTCCTCACAGACAAGATCTGACCTTCATGTGGAAACACCACAATACAAACACTCCCCACACAAATAGCTGTTCCAAAAAGGCATACTCTCAGTAGTTCTTACCTGGTAAAATTCCCGAAGCCAGTTCTTCTGCAGGTTTTCTGGCTGTAAAATAAGAAAAAAGAAAAGACAGTCAAATTACAGACACTGCCCCCCAAACTTCAGTAAGGAAATCCATGGAGCAGCCTCATAGTCAGGAGCAGAGCACATGTACCAGGAACCCCTATTTACATGGGGAAACTCAGCTTTTACTGGGGAGCCACATTCAAAGAGATATACCTATGACACAAAGTAAAGCAGTACTCATCTGGCCAAGGGCAGACACACAGGGCCATGTTCCCACATGAATCTCAGCCCTGCTATCTCCCACTAGCCAGGTCAAAGGGAAGGGGATGGAAACAGCACTGCATGTCTTCAAGCTTCTAGACACCACCCAGGAAAGAGACAGCAGAGAAAGTAGAGAGTCTCTAACAGGCAACAAGTGAGATGCTGGCACATTTCGAATACATGTCCTCCCTAGCCAAAACTGTCATAAGAAAATGTACTCAGGAGTACTTTATGGACCGTAAATTGTCAATCACACCACAGTGGTGTTTCTGAGTATTTGAGGCACTTGATAGGGACAATGACAGAAACACCCATCACACACACACACACACACACACACACACACACACACACACACACACACACACACACACACACAC